GCATTTTTAATTCCCATTAAAAGATGGAGGAGGCTGTCCTACATGTAAGCTGAGTTCCTTATTTCTTTTTCTTTTGACTGTCCCTGGCTGCATGTTCTCTGTTGATGTCTGGTTCTTGATCTTCTTGTCTGTGAAAGGAAACACTCCAGCTGGCTTGCCTGATAAGAAGAAAGGAAAGTTTGCTTGGTTTAGTCACTCCACAGAAACTCATGGTAACGTTCCAATGTATTCTGTGTCCATCCTTTGTTTGTTCATGTATGTTTCTGTGCAGTAATTGTGTTGTCTGTTGATGCATGTATATGTGCTTTTATATTGCTTCTGCTGCAACTTGGAATTATGCTTGAGGTGGTAACACCCATTTATGATCAATCACTTGTGATACAAGAGAGTACTGAAGACATTGCCAAATTCAAAGACATCTACAAGATGCTCCATGTAATTTCTGAGGTTATTTCCCTCAAATAATTATAGCTTGTGTCCCTGAAGTAGACCTGTACCAAAATGTCCTAAACTAATTTTATATGAGTGTTTCTTCTACATCAAGCTGATGGAGGTAAATGGAAGCACTGGAAGGTGATTTAACAGCCACCTACAGTGTTCCAGATTGTGTAAACCTTATAAAAAGGATATTACACAATTCAGCCGCAACTAGAGAGAGGGGCATTGTTAGAACATTTTTATCCTAAATTTCTAGAGAGAATGCAGGCTCAAGAGGATATTCACTGGGAATAAACAGAGTTATAGTACAATACATCTGGATGGCACTAGATTGAGGAAGGCTAATACAATTAATCAAGTTTTGCTGCCACTTAACCTCCGTCTCAGTGACATACATGCCTCCTCAGGAAGCTCCCAATGAAATCCAGAGTGGCATACAGTAGCATCAACAAGGAGAATGCTCTCCATGTTTGCATAGCTTTTTCCATATGCTAATGATCAGTAAATATGTATAGAATTGCTTGTTATACTTCGGAGTAATTTCAAATGGAAACAATAGGACCTTAAATAGAACATCATTTTTTGCCTTCTTTTGACCAGTATGAAAATGGTAGAGAAGACTATTTGAACATATTTCCAGTGTGATGGTAATTAGGAGAGGAAAATAAATAATTGGATTAACTTTCCAAAATGTAGGACAGAAAGAAAGATTGAAAGCTCCATTTTTCTTCCTGTTTTGCAAGAAAATAATTGCAGGAATCCATTCATAATGGATTAATTCTTATAAAAAATAGGTACTGCTTGATGATGCATTAGATATCTTTTTGGCCCTCAGTACAGGGCATGCTGAGAAATCTCATAAACTTTTGTAAAGTTTTTTGGTCTGAGGAGCTGTCCAGATCATCTGTCAAATTCATTAACTGGATTCACACATTATGACAAGCAACGCTGCGTGGTTACCATGGTTTATGTTTTTCTACTTTAATGTGCCAGACAGACAATCAGACTTGTGGTGATAAATATCCTCCCCCCCCCCCCGCCCGGACCCCCTTCCCTCTCAGTTCTTCAAGCAATAACCCTGAAGATGTCTGGAGAGGAACAAGGCTCCTTTCTTGGACAGCCACAATTGTGAGCTGAGCTTGACTGACTGCAGCTCTCAAGTAGTCTCTGTTGTGCAAATAGGGATCATGCCCTGCAGTGCAGCAAAAAAGAGGAGGGAAATGATCAAACATACTTGCCTCTTGCTCCAGAGGTTCCAAATCCATGCTCAGATAGGAAATCAAGCTCAGATAGGAAATTAGGAGCAGTGTCACTCAGCTGATTCCCCCTCTGCATGCTCCTGAGGGACAAGAATCAGCTGATTTCCCACTCAACCACCATTTTTGTCCTGCTGGCAAGAGACACATACCCAGTGCATTACCCATCCAAATGCCTTTCTTGGAAGTGGGAATGTGAAGGGTGTGGTGATGAGATAATCACCTGATAATTACCTGCCACTGCTTCTTTCCCAAGGCCAACCAGCCGATTGCCTATTCCTGCTCTATAGAAAATCATTAGTGTAGAAGGCAAGCAGAGCAGTATTCCTCTGACAGCTGTGCAAAACATCAGCTGTCAGGTAGCACTTTCCAGCAAGCAACTTGGCAAAAGCAGCAATGAACCAGTCTCGCCAAACAGCTCTCTGGGTCTGCCCTTGGTACCATGATAAGTTGTGCTTTCTGAATTCATATGACACAACAAGGCATTGTAGTTCCAAGAAGCCATAGAGCAAACCATTGTTTCTATGTATGGTTTCTCAAGGCCAAATGTACCATCCTGAAATATTATAACTGAGTTCAGTGATACAAAAGACCAACAATGGTAAAGAAAAAGAAAAAGAAAGCCTGGCTTATCATGTCATGTGAAATCCACCCATTTTGTCATCCTGACAGGTTGTTTCATCATGTTTACTTCATTTTGTATATCCTTTTCTAGAGAATAGGAAAGTATTCATTAAGCATTAACATAAAATCATAGGTATAATGATTTAGATTATAAACAGTGCATTGTAGGGCATGTGCCAAGAGCTGTGCAAACTAGTGATGTGACTATGTCCCGGCTTAATGTCCCTAATTTGAACATCTGAGAGCCATTTACTGCTGAATGATTTGACCATCATCCAGGATGAGGACAAGTGAATTCTCATTCTATAATCTTCTGAAATATAAAGCCCTATCTACACAGCTTGGAACCAGGCTATTTGAAAAACTATTTTCTCTCATGTGACTCAGCTGTGTTTCAGGATCTTTGAAACAGGCCTGTATTGGAGGCCTGTTGTGGAAACATGAAGGAGATCCTTCCTGATGGGTGCTAACAAATGTTAGAACTCACTGCAAAGACCTGATAGCTCCATCTCTATTGTCCTATCGCCAGCAGGGGAAGGCATTTTTATTCCAATAAGTTTTGGTTTTTAAACTGAAAAACATATTTAATTTGGTGGGTGCTGTTTATTCCTTTTTTTACTAATGTATTTAATGGCTGTTTCTAATTGATATGTTTGATGTGTGTTTTTATGTTTTATTTATAATTTTCTACTTTATCTATTTTGTTAGCTATTCTTAGCACTGTTTTAATGGTGATATGGGAAGTAAAATAAATAGCTGCTAAACCAAGTACCTTAAGATGAACCTGAACAGTTATCAAATTTATTCTTGTTTCAAGTTAGACTCAATTATACATCCAGTCTTGAAAGGCTTTTCTCTTGTTAAATCACTATATGACCATAACAACCCTAAATGGATGCCCAGACAACATCTTGCAAATTTTCTTCTGACTCCAGTGTCCCAGGCTACGGTGCGAAAACATGATTAGCCAACATAGCCCATTTGTTAGTCATATCTGCCTCTCTCCCCTTTTTGAACATATCCATTTTTCTAACCTTTATTTAATAGCATTCTATTTTTTTCAGAGAGTGAAATGAATGAAGGAGAGTTTGGCTTTGCTAATGTTTTGTTTTGACTTCCTTAAGCTGAATTTATCTTACCACTGTTTATTTGCAAAGCACAACGGGGCTTTGAATTTGTTTGAGGGTTTTAGGTTAACTTTCATAATAATAGTAAGCAAATGTGTAGTGTTTACAGTCTAGGTACTGCACAGAAGTTTTTGAAGGACCTTTGATAGCAATTAATTTTTAAGACAGATCCACATTTTTAACTGAACAAGGACTGAAGTGCCAACAGTATTGTTAACAACCACTGATTCACATCAGTAGAAATTGTGTCATGGGCAAAGTGGCTGATTATCCCCTTCTTTCAGGTTAAATAACACTAGAACCCGTGGTTGTCTTACTTTATTAGCAGGAAATACTGTTAAAGGTTTGGGTCTCCCAAGTTGTAGAAACCTAGCAAGTTAAAGAGAACTGTCCTGAACCAATAATTTGTGTTTAGGGCCACCTGCCTTTGGTAAGTTTATGACATCTATGGAATGCACTCCCCAGAGAAGTCCGCCTGGCGCCGTCGTTATTTGTTTTTCGGTGCCAGGCTAAGACCTTTTTATTTAAACAATATTTTAACAACTCTTTATAATATCTATAGGTTTTAATTTTGCAGCCAGGGTGATTCTGGGTTTTAACTGTATTATTTTATTATGTACTATGTTTGTTTATTTTATGTGAGCCGCCCCGAGGCTATAAGCGATGGGACGGCATACAAAAGTTCTAAATAAATAAATACTACAGAGAAACAGTGTAGTATAGTGGTTAAGAGTACAGGACTGGGACTCAGGCAATCTAGGTTCTAGTCCCTGCTTGGCCATGGGACAAACTGGGTGACTTCAGGACAGTCACAGACTCTCAGCCCAACTCACAGGGTTGTTATTGTGGGGATAAGATTGAGAGCAGGAGGAGGAGACTTATTTAAGCTGCTTTGAGTTTGTTGTAAGAAAATAGTGGGATATAAATATAATAATTAATACCTGAGGATAAGCATGATATACAAAAATGGATTCTTTCTTTCTTCTTCTTTAATATCTCTTTTTGTTTCAATCTATATTGAAGTGACCTATCAAAGTTCACTTTGCTGCAGGTGTCTTGAGTATTCTGCAAGTACAGTTTAATCAGCTTTAAGCTATATGTGTAAAGACAGCATTGTATGAAAGCACATAAATATTTTGCTGGAAAAGTTGTATCTTTGGTAGCCATCTTCACTTTAGAAGATGGGGGCACCCAGAACCATGTCTTTAACAAAAAATAAAATAAAATTGGGTCAGTTCTTATGAGAGAAGGCAACTCATTGAATATCCTGATTCCAGAACATATAGGGCTGTATAATCAGAAGTAGGTTATTGTTATCACCATATGTACAGTTTAACTAACAGTAGAGACCTTGAGATTCCATAACTGACCTAAGTTTTTTACCCAGCTCTTGCAGATTAAAGACACATCTTTCATGTACTTAGCCATACTCAATCTTCTTACATAACCTTTGCTGTTTTGCTAAGTCAGTGCCTCCATGGTCAGTAGCTACTCATTTATGTATTGCAGACTAATTAACAAACGTCTACTCTTTTATTCTCTCTGATCCTTGCAGTGAGCATGCCCACCAGTGAGACAGAATCTGTGAATACTGACAATGTGGCTGGAGGTGATATTGAAGGAGAAAACTGTGGTGCGCGGCTGGCGTGAGTTCATCCAATATGTTTACTTGTGTCTTCCTGTTTCTAGCATAGGCAATGGCTGTCATAAGCGGATAAACCTTTTAAGACTTCTGATGCATAATGAGAGAATAGTTGGAATAACAGTGATACAGTAGAACAGAACAGTGGTAGCAGAATGATGATGCTAAACTGCGAGTTAAACTGTTGAGCTGCTGGGCTGTTGATTGGAAGGTCATCAGTTCAAATCCACATGCAGAATGAGCGCCTTCTGCTTTGTCCCATCTCTTGCCTACCTAGCAATTCAAAAGCATACAAATGCAAGTAGATAAACAGATACCACTTCGGTAGGAAAGGTAACAGCATTCCATTTAGTCATGCCAGTCAATGACCAGGAAGCATCTTCAGACAACACTGGTTCTTTGGCTTAGAAGCAGAGAAGAGCACCATCCCTACAGTCGGACACAACTAGCACGCATGCACAGGGGAACCTTTACCTTTTTTTAGCAGAGTGATGCCCCCAAACTGCCTCATTAGTGGCTGCCAAAGTCTCCTACTCATATTGTTTATGAATAAATATACTGGCAGCTGAGAAAAATGAAGGCCTTCAACCACTGCTGTTTTCTTTTTTCATGAATGCCTCTGGGACACAAGTGGAGATCAGACATATTCTTAGGAAATGAAGGTGGCAGGTGGCTGGAGGCCAACTGTTTCCTCTGCAGTATGCCCGGAACCAGAGAGGTGGGGAGAAAAAAGAGAATCCTATTGCAGCTGTCAGGTAAACTGGTGGAGGGCAAAGAGAGAAGTCGGGGCTAAGGAAATTAGGAGAGTTAGGAAGTTAGATGGGGGATTGAGGAAGCTATGTGGCACTGCAAGAAAGGTTAGTAGACGCCAGCCATACAGAGAATATAATGCTTATAGTAAAACGAATGAAAGAAATTGCTAAGGAAAGGCAAAAGCAAAAGTTAACAGAAATAAGGTCAGAATCCTGAATGCAACTTTTCAGTGACTATCATGTAGAACCAAAAAGTACTATTACAATGACCACTGCAAAGAAATAAAAGAGAACAGCAAAAGAAAAAAGACATGAGATCTCTTCTCAAAGATTCAAGAACTCAAGGGAAATTTAAACCTAGATTAGGAATGCTAAAAGGCAAATGGGGGCACACTCTGTTCAGGAAAAAATAGAAGATGGAAAGAATATACAGAAGAGATGAAAAGATGGCAGATTCCATCAAAGAGAACTCCCAGCAGGAAAACTTGAAATATTAGAAAGTAACATGAAAGCTGTTCTGAAAGCCCTTGGAAGGAAAAAAGAAACTGGAGTAAATAGGTTATCAATAGAACAATTCCAAGCTGTAGAGAATGACTCAGTCGAAATCCTAACAAGAACATGCCAACAAATATGGAAAACAAAACAATGAACCACAGACTAGAAATGTTCGATAATACATTCCAATCCCCAAAGAAAGGAGATGTAAAAGAATGCAGGAACAATAGGACCATTGCATCAATTTCCTTTGCAAACAAAGTGATGCTCAAGGTGTTGTAACAAAAAATATTACCTTTGTAGAATGAGAAATGCTGGATTCCAAAAAGAAAGAGGCACTCGAGATCATATTGCAAATATATGTCAGTTACAGGAGAATTCACCAAAGAATTCCAGAAGATCAGTCTATGCTTTACAGTCTACAGCAAAGCCTTTGACTATGTGGATCATGAGCAGCTATGGATGGTCCTGGAAGAAATGGTGTGCCTCAGCATTTGATTGTCCTGATACATAACCTGTTTCATGGAGAAGAAGCTACTGTTGGGGCAGAATATGGAGAAAAAGAATGGTTTCCCATAGGTGAAGGTGTCAGACAAGGATGTATTTTATCAAACTCCATCTGTTCAATCTGTATGCAGAGCAGATATCATAAGGAAAGATGAATTAGGATCAGAGGAAGGGGTGAAAATTGGTGGTAGATGCAACAACAATTTAAGATATGGAGATGACACATTTTACTGGCAGAAAGCTGCAATGATTTGAAGAAATTCCTGATGGAAGTGAAAGAAGTGCAAAAACAGAAGTGCAGCTGAATATTAATACAAATCTTGACTGCAGAAGAAACAGAACTTTACTGTTAATGATGAAAGATTTTACATAGTTTGACTCAGTCTTCAATTCAAAGGGAGATTGCAGCCAAGGGATTTAAAAACTGAGATACAGAAAGGCAGCAATGAAGAAACTAGAAAAGATAATTAAGTTTGAAGGTGCTTAAATTTGAGCCAATATTGTTCACACATTTGTATTCCCAATCACTATGAAAGCTGGACAGTGAGGAAAGCTGACATGAAGAGAAAAAATAATGTGTTTAAACTATGCTTCTGGAGGAGATATTTGTGAATACTCTGGACCAACAGAAAGCAGAACAAGTGGGTCCTAACCCAAATCAAGCCAGTGCTTTCCCTAGGAACAAAAATTGGGTGCATCATGATAAAGGGAAAACTCCCCAAGAAGTTTGTCATTCTATGGAAAGTTGAAGGCAGAAGTGGCAAAGGAAAACCTAATATAAAACAGGTTGACTTCACAAAGAAAGCTACATGCGTGAATTTACAAGAGCTGAGGAGGGCTGCTATGGATGGGACATTTTGGAGGATTTTCATTGATATGTTTGCTATAAGTCAGAGACCACTTGGGAGAAAAACAGCAAAGAATATAGGTACCTGAAGTCATTGACTAACCCAAGCAATTGTATGGAAATGTCCCTGTTACCCTGAGAGATCTTAGCTGTGTCCAATAATAGTGTAAGAAATTTCAGCCAGATAAGCAGAAAAATAATTGTGGCAGGAACAGTAAAGAGATGCAATGTAGAAAGGGGTTGATAATATTAGGTAAGCCGTTGGAATGGTGGAGATGCTTAGCTGCGGCTTCTAATGCACCAGAGATAAAATTATCACATGTGCAAGGAGTGGTACAACTGCCATATCTGTTAGCTTAATTAAATAAAATGATCTTCAAAATGCCAGTCAGTCTCTTTGGTGAAACGCAAGAGAATAACATTATAAGCACCCACTGGGATAATAAGCAATTTTAATTTCATTTTTTCCAACCAGAGCCAGGTTTACAATATCTTGGGCACTGATCATTTTGATGAGCCTTTTAGAGTTCACTGAGTGTTTCCTCCACTGCATTGCAAAGATGGAAAATGGAACTCTTACTCTAATTAATGACAACTTTTGTTTTACGTCTGTTCTGTACAGCAAGTGCAACTAATTAGGGCCTTTCCCTGTCTTTTCCAGAAAAATCAACAGATTATTTGCAATCTCTTTAGTTTTATACCAAGCATGGTAGAAATAACAGAGCCACAATAGAATGTGCTAGAATGTATTGTGTCAGCAGATGAAAGGATTTTTTTAAAACTTATCTCTGTTCTTATAAAGGTTCTGGTTAAATGAAGGGCAGCTGCCCACAGCTGGTCACAAAAGTTAAGCTGAAGGATTGATTCAGTTTTGTTTTAATCCCAGTATTTTCCCTTTGACTGCCTTTCTCCATCACCAAGTGGCCACTCAGTCTTTCTACCTGTGTGTACTTTTTTTTCTTTTACTCTCTTTCTCCACTCACTCCCATTTTCCTTGAGTCAAGACTGTGATAATTGGCTATTTTCAATATCCTGAGGTGCCTTTCTTGTAAGAAAGAAAGATGACTTATAAACTTAGGCTGAAGCACATTCTGTGAGCAGAATCTTCCATTCACAAGGTAGATCTTGCATCTAATCTATTGTTCCTTTTCCCAGCCTCTGTTCCCATCCACACATGTATCAATCTAGCAATCTAGTCTGTTTCCTTACAATTACACATTCCTTCTCCCCAAATTCCAGGGACTTAAATAATAATTCAGATCCAGCAAATTGTAGGTCTATTCCACAATGCTGTTAAGCCTTCTATTTCTCTCTGCTTCATTATTTATTACATTTATATTACACCTTTCCTCCAAGGAAATAATGGTTGCATACTTGGACTTCTTCCCCACTCCATTTTTTTTTCACAACAAACCTATGGCTACATTAGGCTGAGGTTAGAGTTAGTGTTTGTACCAAAGTCATCCAGTGGGATTTATAATGTGGTTCTCCCCAGTCCAACCCAGCCCTAGCCCAATATTCTAACTAGTATACCACATTGGGTACTTCCATTTTGATAATATTGGTTCATTGGATCTACATAGTCTGTAGAGATGACACTAGAATACTTTTGGGGTTTTAAGGGGTATTTATCAAGGCAAAGTAGACTTTAGCACATATGCAGCTGATATTTATTTATTTGGAGCATTTTTATGCCATCCTATACAAAAGTCTCAGGATGGCAATACAAAACAGTAATGGCAGCATACAAAATAGAATATAAATGTCTATAGAACCAATATTAAAACCACAATTAATTCTTAAAATGGAGAATAAAAGGGGGTTGGCCTGGTGCCAACATGAATAAAGAGTCAGTGTTAGGTGCACCTCTTTGGGGAGCAGATTCCAAAGCTGGGGTGCCAGCCCAGAAAAGACCCTGCTCCAGATAGCCACTCTTCTGATCTCCTTCAAAGAGGCCTCCTGAAGAAAGACCTCAGACAAGAATTTTAGGGGGTGGGCAGGTATATGGAAAGAGATGCACCTTCAGATACCCAGGCTCTCAACCATTTAGGACTTTATATGTAGTCATTAGCATCTTAAATTGGCCCCGGACTTCAATTGATAGTCATTGCAGTCAATATAGGACGGTATTATATGAGCATATGAGTATATGCTTTATTGTTGTTTTATAAGGATGTTTTCAGATTATTAGTTCATTGTTTTAATTTGTTAGTAGTCACCTTGAGACTGGCATAGAAAAGGTGATGAATAAATGTTTTAAATATATGAATTATCTACATTCATATCATAATGCTCAGACAGATCCCACAAGATTGCTAGATGCATTTGTGGTGTGAGTCTGGACGTGCATCTGTGACCATTAAGTATAACGCAGGGCTAGAACAATATTGGAGTCATTGTGTTCAAATTTAACTGCAGCTTGGTACCCCACTATTCCTTCTCCAGGCTTTTTGTCTCAATTCATTAGCGCTGATGTAGGCAGGTATTTGCCCTAAGCTTTTTAAGTGCTTATAACAGAAGAGATGTTTTCATTATAGAACGTTTTACTGTATTGAGACTACCTCCTGGAGATATCTTCCTTTCAAGAGAATAGATAATTTCTGCACATGGAAACAACTGAAAATGTTTGTCTATATGGGACAAAAACATTTTCCAACACAGTTATGAAAAGGACACCTAAGATTCAGTTATGTAATTTCTCTTGATAGCAACCTTTGATGATCTTTTAAAAATTACTGCAAAATTGTTGTCAACTCCTATTAGATGTATTTCATATATGCAGACTTCTTATCACTGGCTCATATAGCTGTTGGCCACAAGGTCCTTTGAACTCTTGCCCATACTGGCTTCTTCCATGCTGCCAACTGGTCATGCCAGCTTCCATCATCTGGATGATTGGCATTTGTGGTAGCAGGCAAAGAGCTTACTCCTCTGCGTGCTAGCAGCTCTGCATGGCCAGCTGGGAACAGGCTTGGGGAGGATTTATAAACCGTTATCTAGCAGCAGCCTCTCATGCAGTGATTATATGAATCTGAGCTTTAGAAGAACTGAATCTATCCATTTCAGGAAACATTTACTCAGTTCAGTGGGCAAACTGTTTGAAAGAGAGCATGTGGAACCTTAGCACTTCGGAAAACTATCAGGCACGTCTGTCTGACTCCCACCACCACTGCATACACACACCCCTTGTTTGGCTTATAGAGTAAGTCCTCAACCATTCCTTCCCATTGGATTATAGCCAGCGTATAATACATAATCCACAAAGTAGTAATAGTGAAGTAAGTAGATTATAGGTGGTTCAGTATTTTTTTAAAGTAGCATTGACTGATTTATCATTCTAATGTGATAATCTAGTTAAATCTTTTCTCTCTTTTCCTTTATTGATTGTGCGAAAGTTGAGATTATAGTATGTGATTTTGATTTCTCTTTTTCAGACACCGGATATCTAAATCTAAGTTTAGGTAAGTATTACAACAGCTTTTAAAAGTATTTCTCTTCTTGTTCAGTATTAACATCCCATATTTTGTTGTAAAAGGTAATTGCTTAACTGTGGTATACTTCTTAACACTTAGCTAAAGGTTTTAATTAATAGGCTACTGATTAACTTACTTTCTCACATTTGCAAGTATCAGCAAATATTCTTCATGATCATCTAATGAAACAGAAATTGAATAAAGGTAGCAGTTATTGACAAGGCAAGACCCATCTCTATATAGTCCTCTCAGTGGTATGATATTGGAAGCAGGAAAAAATAGTCATCAAAATTGACTAAGGGGCAGAGCTGCAAGAGGTCTGCAGAAGTCTGGCCTGCTTAGAGATATTACAGATGCCTCCTTGAATAGTTTTATCTTCACACAAAAAAAGTTGAGGAAAATATTTTTTCTTATTACACATTTTGAGAAAAAGTAAATATAATTACATAAATTCAACCTTTCATGGTGTTTTGGCTGCTCTGTATTTATGACCTGCTCCCTTTGGCTCCTTCATGATCCCAACTGGCTATGGGTCTGCTAGGACCATGTTGTAGTTATGTGTAAAATGAGCCTTGCAAATATAAGGAGTGTAACTGGTGAGAGCTTTAGCAGGAATTGCATTAAGATGCACAGTCCTGTGCACATTTCACCATTATGTCTGATAAAAAAATTGCTGTAAGATTTACAGAATACTGAAGCATAGTATTTTATTCATTGTTGCTCTAGAATTGTTTCTGCTTGTAACTGGACAGAGATTGAGAGACACTAGAATGACCAAAGAGAATGCACATCCTGCTTTGAGCACACATTGTACCAAAAAAACCCCCCAAACCCATTAGCTTTATTATTCAGGAGCCAAATGTTGCTTGGAAACTAGTTGCTAAGCAAGCTAAATTCTGAAGAGTGCAAGATATATAATTAACTTTAAATACTTTGTCTGGTTAGTAATTACCCTCAGAAACCACTGACACTTGCGAAGCGCTGTATGTTCTAGGAAAGCAAATCATAACATGGGGTTGTGCTTATACTTCAAATAAGCAAATAGTATCCATAATAGGGATCAAGGGAGAAGATGCTTGACCTTGCTAACAAAGTTGCTGAAAATAATTGTGGACAAGTGAGCTGTGTGTGTGTGTGTGTGTGTGTGTGTGTGTTGGCGGGGGATGGGGGGTAGTCTATTTTCCCTTTACTTTCTTTGAGTAATGACAAAGTCTTTACCGGTCCACTAATTGAGAGATTGCTGTTCTATTCTATATGAACCTACCAGAGAGAACCAAAAACATTTGGATGAGTGACCTTTTCTTGACTTTCATATGAAGAGAAAGTAAAATGGGAAATGAGAAACAGCCTGTTCTCCCCATTTCTAGCAGCACCTTTTTTGTTGGAAATGAACAAAGAATTGCACAACCCCAGCTCCAAGCTGCTATTAATGAAAAGGTTACATGTATGTGTATGTGCACGTCTGTGATAGAGAAAGTGCATGCCTATACAAGTTTTATGAGGCAGTATGTATGCATAGTTTTGCAGCTCCCAAACTCATTTTGCCATTTAAATATAGTGAAATGAACACTGAAGGCTGTAAGGAAGCAAGAAGCTGGTGAGAGCTTTAGTAGGGATTGCATTAAGATGCTCAGTCCTGTACACATTTCACCATTATGTCAGTATGGCATGTAGCATACAAAGAAGTATGTTGAAAAGTGAAGTCTACCCACTTCCAGCAATTTGTGCTTGAGAGAGGCTTGTATAGGAATATCAGGGGCCTCTAGGTTTTGCTGGTCCATTTAGCTACACTGAACACACTGTAGGTGTGTATTGTTTTGTCTCTTTCCTTCTATGTTTAGTTAAAATTAGGAGATGGATGGGCAGTCTCCAGGACATTCAAATTAATTCATGGATTCAAAAATCACATCAGTAGTTTGCAAACTCTTTCGTTTACACTACAGTCATGATCTAGTTTGATTCTCATTTTTTCATCCTGTTCTCCCCCTTTCCCTTTTTAAGTCGCTACTGGCGCAGATGGAATCGGTTCTGCAGACGGAAATGTCGAGCTGCTGTCAAATCAAATGTGTTTTATTGGCTTGTGATCTTCCTTGTATTTCTCAACACCCTTACTATTGCCTCTGAACATTACAACCAGCCAGATTGGCTCACTGAAGTTCAAGGTAAGAAGAGGCAGGCGATTCTTATTTTATTTTATTTTTTCTACATTTATTGCCAAAAGTTTTTTTAAATTGAAGTTAATTAAAAATTATCCTGAAGAATAAACTGATCTGATCTGATCTGAATTCACATAAAGTAAATCCATTTGATTGAATAAGCTCCCAAAAGAGTTAATTACAAAATGTCATGCATTCTTTTATATAAAGTGGAGGATAAGAAAAACTGTGTTGGATCAGATCAAAGGCATATTTAATCCAGCGTTCTGTTCACACAGTGGTCAGCCAGATGCCTATTGGAAATTCACAAGCAGGACTTGAGTACAGTAGTACCCTCATGCTTATATATATTTATGGATTTATTAAATTTATGGCTCTTTCAGACAGAGGTCCCCTAGTGCTACCCACCATACTTCTCTTCTGTTAACTATGAGCAGAACTGAGCTGGAAACTTTCCACCTGTCATAGGAAATAGCCACTTCCGTCCACTTCTACCTTCTATCCATGTCAGTGGGTTGAGAGTGATAGCTGTAGTCAGTGATCTCTCCTCCCTTTGCTAATCCCTCCCACCTTTTTATTTGCTCTGAAGGGTCTTTTTTGGTTCATCCCTTTGGAAGATCATGATTCACTATTGTAGCTTTCTGTCTCTGAATGTTTAAGATTCAGATAGTTTAAAAAATAAAGCAAAATGGTGGTGTCCTAGGGCAGGTGTGATGTGAGTGTGGGAATAAAAGATAAGCCTCAGCCAGAGAGCTTTGACTGTTGGATGATATAAAATATAATTATTAATAGCAAAGGGTTCAGCATGGCAGCAGATGGCAGAAAAGTGAAGGTCACCAGCCCACAAGTGGTGGTGGGGGGGATGGGAGAAACAGAGAGCACTTATCACTGGTGCCAGCGCTGGGGGCAGCTGTCTGCAGCACTCACTGGCTGGCTCCTTGGTAAGAGCAGCAAGGAGACTGCAGTAGAGCTTGACCCATGAGGGTTTGTTTTATCAGGGTTTTTGTTGTGCAAAACCTGCCAGAGGAAAAAGAGACTTTTCTCTGACCTCTCAATTAAGCCTCTTTTGCATATACTTTCAATCAAATCAACACACATCTGGACCAGGACTAACTTAGTTAAAAGCAGCATGCATAAGAAGCAACTCTCCTGGATTGACTGACCCTCACTGTGCAGAATTTTAAATATGAAGTACTGCTTCACTTCTTATGTGAAAAGTACCCCTTCCTTCAGAACATAAAAAAGTGCCTGCAAAGTAGACACTTTTGTGTATAGGGTAGGGTATAAATATTTTAAATAAATAAAAATAAAAATAGATGCAGCATTCTTAGTAGTTCCAGAGGATAACACCTAAGTGTGCAATAAAAATATTTTGTGGGGCAAGTTTTGTTGTGCTTATGATCTTTTTGTTGCACTGGTCTTTCAGGGCCATTATAATGATCATTATTTTTCTATTTATTTTTATGAGACACTGCCAATAAGGTACTGCTAGCTCTATTTACGGCTGAGATGTTACTGAAGATGTACAGCCTGGGTCTTCAAGCCTACTTTGTGTCACTCTTCAACCGCTTTGACTGTTTCATTGTGTGTGGTGGAATCCTGGAGACCATCTTGGTGGAAACGAAGATCATGTCACCACTGGGTATCTCAGTGCTAAGATGTGTGAGACTATTGCGAATATTCAAAATCACAAGGTACATCTCTCCTGATTTTTGTTGTTCAATGTAGCTCATTGAGGGGAGAGGAAAAGTTTCCCCATTTCTGAGTGAAAATCTTGTGTACAGTAATATCCCAGGTAAAAATTATTCCTTCCCTGAATATTTCTTCTCGAATATAGTGCCTAGGCCGGAATGATGATATATGTAATTATTTATTTGTGCTTTATCATACAGTATGTATAGGTCATTCTATAACAAACCCCTTAGAAAACCTCAGAAGAAATACAATTCTTGGCTTCTTTTATTTTCTTTTTTTAAGTATATCAGTCATAAAAAGTATAAAAGCAATCTCATGGAGGAAGAACAGCTAAGCAGGATTAAAAGACCTGGGGGAAATAAAAATATATATTCACCTGGCACTGGAATGACATTAAGTTAGGCTAGATGAGCCTCTCTGGGGATGGTGTTCCATATCTAGTACACTTAGTGAAAAGGCCCTTTCTCCCATCTTGCCACATCTCACTCGAGGATGCAACTGAGTAAGTACATAGGGAGAGAGGCAGACTTTCTGGTTCCAAAACATGAATGGCCTGAAGAAACTTAAAATCTTTCAAGTCCCAAAATCTGAAATGTTTTCTGTTAGACCAAATCAATGTCAAATGTTGTAGCCGTCTATGGGACAGATCTATACAGCAAGGTTAGGAAGAAAGGCAGTCCAAAGCACAGCCTAAAGTGAAGCTGAGGTCAACCACAGGTGAATAGTCCAAAAACAGTGCAGGGCAAGGAACAGGATCTTAGCTTAGGTATCACCAGCATGTGTTATCAGTCCAAAAGTTATTGAGACCCAAGGATGTGGACAAGGTGCTTGGCTCTGTCCGCTTTACCACATGCCAGGAGGCTGTCAAAGCCTCATTAAGAGAGAGAGTGGAGCCTGCCCTTTTAAAGGAGGCAATAGTGAGACTACTCCTTAAAAGGTCAGGCCTGGATTCAGGGGTCCTGGATAACTAATGACCCATTGTTAATCTTCCCTTCTTGGGCAAGGTGTTGGAGCAGATGGTAGCCTGGCAGTTGCAGGCATTCTTGGAAGATATGGATTATCTGGATCCATTTCAGTCTGGCTTTGGACCTGGGTTTGGAATGGAGATGGCCTTGGTTGCCCTGTATGATGACCTGTGCAGGAAGAGGGACAGGGGGAGTATAACCCTGTTGGTTCTCCCTGACCACTTGGTGGTCTTCCACACCATTGACCATGCTGTTCTCCTGGACAGGTTGGCCGGGGTTGGAGACACTGCTTTGAAGTTGTTCCACTCCCACCTGGCTGTCCGAGTCCAGAAGGTAGCCCTGGGGACTGTAGCTCTGCACCATGGCAGTTGCATCATGGGGTACTGCAGTGCTCAGTGCTGTCCCCCATGCTTTTTAACACTTATATGAAGCCACTGGGAGAGGTCATCTGGAGGTTTGGACTGAGGACTCAGCAATATGCTGATGATACTCAGCTCTACCTCTCTTTTACATCTCATCCAGGTGAGACTGTTGCTGTCTTGAACTGGGGCCTGAGCTCAATGATGGACAGGATGAGGGTCAGGAAACTGAGACTCACTCCTGACAAGACGGAGGTGCTGCTAGTAAGGGGGGGGGGGGTGTCATCTGACAGGTTGGAGGGGCATTGCCCTATCCTTGATGGGGTTGCACTCCCCCTAATGGGCAGGGTCTGCAGTCTGGGTGTGCTTCTGGACCCAGGTTTGTCCCTGGAATATCAGGTGAACTCAGCGTCCAGGGGTGCTTAGCTCCAGCTATGGAAAAAATACCAGCTTCATCCATACCTGGGCAGACAGAGTCTGAAAACAGTCACCCATGCGTCGGTAACATCCAAAATAGATTACTGCAGTGTGTTCTTTGTGGGGCTGCCCTTGAAGACAGTCCAGCAATTACAATTGGTGCAGACTAGGGCCTCTCAGTTGGTGATGGGAGCCTCTAGAGTGGCCCACATAACACCTATACTGAAAAATCTTGAATTGGGTGCAGGCCCAATTCAAGATGCTTGTGTTGACATATAAGTCCCTAAATGGCTTAGGCTCTGGTTATCTTAGGGAGCATCTGCACCCGTATGTGCCTACCTGGCCTTTGAGATCTCTGCAGGGGGCCCTCCTGCGTGAGCCATCCCTTAAGGAGGTGAGAGGGATGGCCGCTGGGAGGAGGGCCTTTCCAGTAGCGGCTCCCCATATTTGGAGTGCTCTCCCCATGGAAATCTGCCTGGCACCTTCCTTCCTTCCTTTTTGGCACCGGACAAAAAAAAATTGATAACTAATTGCCATAAAACTAACTGTTTTGTATTTTTGCTGTATTTTATTGTTGTTTTTAATATGTTATTGGTTTTTATTATGTTTTTATACAAATGTTTTAAATAAATAAATAAATGGAGAAAGATCAAGGAAGCAAGGTTTCAGAATACTAGGAACTGCTGTAACAATGTTGTGTATTCCACTGGTTTTACTAAAAGGGTCATCTCAAATGCTCAAGCAGCTCCCAAAATAATATTTTAATAGCATCATTGAAGCTTCAGTGAGATCCAAAATATGTACCCGATATACCCTGCAATATTAGAGATGATTGGCAGCCACATCTCTCAGATAATGCAATACAACAGTATAGACAGAAAAATTGTCTTGGGCCAGTTGTATTCCCTCATTCCTTTTAAGACTATTTGTATTGTCAAGCCAATAATTGAAAATGGTAATTATCTCACACAATGATGCATAGTCATAACTCATAGCTAATACCAATAACCACATCTGGTTTCATTAGAGCTTAATTAATTAATTAATTTCTATATTGCCCATTAACCAGGACAGACTCCCTGGGCAATGATACAGACACAATAGTGTTACAGGTCTTTATTTTTCCAAATGACAGGTTTAATTTATATCAATGGTAGTTAATTTTTTATTAGATAGATAGAGCTGCCCCCTAACACAGGTTCAATAGGTGACTGACAAATACTATATTAAAAAACAACATAAAATATAAAACTATTAAACTTAGCACATTATATAAATATAGAATCCCAGACTATCATATACATTATTTACATCAGAATAGATATTAGAATTCATGAAAAGAGAAAACAATTAGCACATTTAGTATTACATGATCACAAATTGTTGCAGAATATGCATCCTAAGTAATGACAAAGCATTTCTCCCCATTTCTTCTTATGACAAACTAGTATGCCTGCATCTCTATCCTATGAGGTAAAACAGGCTGCAAGGCATCTTTTGTCTATTTTCCGCACAAGTATTAATATCTTTGATTTTATTGACTATAAATATTTAATAACTCATAGCTTGAATGCATAGGTATCAAAGATTATGATCATGCACTCACACGCAGAGCGAGAGGCATGGGGAGGATAGCCCCTTTTCTTAGAACTTCCTTACAACTTCTTAACAATCCAAGTTAATGAATTCCAGTTTCTAGTTCCATATAATTAGTAAAGAAGTTCAAGAAAAAGTAAGTTGTATTTAAAAACAAAACATCAAAATAACTATTCAATTCTTATTAGCATGTCCTTAAAAGTAACTCATTCAATGATGTTATGAGGATTGGAGTGATCCCCTTGGCCTCCAGAACACTTAAAAATATATTTCCAGAAAGCAGAATAAGGAAAGGGGGAAAGGTGCATGTGTCTGGGGGGTGCGATTGAAAGGAGAGATTTAGAATTAGAAAGTGGAGGTAGAACAGAGAAAGATGAAGCCACTATGGATTCCCGTGAAGCCTTAATAATGGTAAAATGACTTACCAAATACTGCAACAAATGTTTTATAAGTTTGTATGTTGTAGCAGTCT